GTCTGATGTATGATTGAATGGGTAGAATTGAAGGACAGTGTTATTTCCTTGTACTGATTGAAAATCTCTATGTAGACAGGGTTGTGGCAATTTGTAATGCTGATCCCACTTGTGTTGCAATGTGTACAGATGCCAGTGACACAAAAGTTTGTCGTGTTGTCTGATGGAGTTCCTTTCATATGCATAGACAAATTAAAGTTAGCTAAAATGTTGTCTCCCAGTCTGGATGATTTAATACCAGCTTATATAAATGACCAAGTAAAATCACGACACATACTAATATTTAGCGCGAGTTGCTTCGTTCCAAATGTCTCTATGCAGAATGCCATTTGCTGCCTGTAATTGGAGGGCAGTTGGGTGTGGTTGTCTTCAAGGGCAAAGGGTATCACACTGATTGCTGTTCCTGTGTCCACGAGGAATTTTAGACTGTTGTTTTGGCCAATATGTTCACTGAGCAACATTATGTTTTTCCACCAGATGGGTTAACTTCAATAACCCTTCCAGTTATATATTGCGTGGAATTTTCATTGCCTTGCATCATCTTGGAATGTCCGATCTGGTGATGCTAACAGATGTCTGAGTTTAGTTGGTTGTCTCTGCTGGAACTGCATCTGTGTTGATTATTGTTTCCATTGTGTAATTTACTTTGATGTCTCTATGTTAGGAGTAGTTGCATTTGCTGTACCTGTTTCTGTAGGTACAGCAATGCCTTTTCTAGGTGCTGTGTGTCAGTGTTGTAGGATTCGCTTATTATATGCAGTGCACTGACTCTTGGGTCATGTGTGAGAAATATCTTGTCCACTATGTCGGTTAGTCTATCCAAGGATGTCTAGTCTACCATGGGTTTAGAATTTGCACCATAGTTTTCATTAGTTTGCTTATCTTAAGGTGTCATAGGATAGATTCAGATATTGTATGCTGACCCAAATGGTTTTTCATGAGCATATCATTTGGGGTCTTGTCACTATACTGTTGAATAACTCACAGACTAGTTCTTTGTCGGAGTGTCTGGTCTTCTTGATGATAGCATTCTTTAATGTTGTGTGGGACTCATTTTCGGGTATGTTTACTAAGGTGTTTGCTACTTTGTCAATAATGCTTTGTGATAATTCTTGGACTACATTTGCAAACATGTTTCTTTTGTAGGTTATTCTGGTGACTGCAAAAATAGTTCCCAATTGTAGTTTTTGGTGTTGGATTCATTGTAAGGAGGCAACTAAAGCAGTATTGATATGATGACGATTGAATTGGTGGAGTCTTTGTTTGGAGCCATGATGGATTTTGAAGTCATCAGCAGTGAGATTCTATTTTATTTTATAAAGTTATGGGTTGATTTGAGGATTGGGATTACTATTTGTTGTTTATCAGGTTGTACTTACAGTTTTGTTACTCTCTTCAGATTTAGTAGTCGAGATATGCATTTTGTTTTTTCCATGTGCATATGTCTTTGAATGCAATAGACTCATGGGTGAAATATCTCCTGAATTATTGCATTGCTGTAGTTGAAAGTTAATCTCTGCTACTATACTGGTTTCGTCATTGGCAGAAACCATAGGTGTTGATGGAAGCACCTTGTTGTCGCTGCTGATAGTCTGGTTAAGCTTGTCTGCCATATGGAGAGGTGTCCATCACTAATGCCAGCCGGGCTGGATTTGTATTCGTCAATGGAATCGGCATTGGCTTTATAGTCAGTCAGCAGCTCAGAAACAGCTGCTGTGAAAACCATGTGGTCCTTTTTCTGATTAGTCAGAAAATGTTTTATGACCCTGGTATTTTTGGCAGTGTTCCAGAAGTTGGTATACAGAGCTGGACAAAATTATGGTTTTATTTATTCATTCATTTCATATTAGCTGTGGATATCAATGTAAGAACTTTTGTTTTAGTTAAAGAATTAAAGTTTCAACAGGGTACGACACTGGACGATATGTGCCCATTTTAAGCTTTCAATCCTTTGTAAATCAAACCTAGAAGTGTTATACTTATGACTTCATGTTATATGTTGTAGTATTGATTTCTGTGAATTTTGATAAGATTAATGTGAAAAAGACAAAGGAACAGATGTTGACTGAAAAAGATTTTATTTTCTTCTGTATGCATATCAGCAGAAGTCTGTGGTGTCATAACTAAGGGATATAATCGGTTAAATTGTTATGTTGTAGTAATTGTATCTATAACATCTCTTTTTGATTGGTGTATAATTTTATTATATGTGTAAAGGTTATTTTTTTTATGTATCTTGTGAGAGAGTTTATGATTTGACTGTTATGTCTCCTGTCTTAAGGTGTTTGGGCTTGTTGATTGAATGGGTGTTGCATTTATTGATAATAATTTGTTTCTGGTATGAAGTTCTCATAGTCAATGCCCTGTGTGGTTTGTATTTGTTTTCTGTTTTGAGAAGGTGATGTCTGTTTAGTATAATTTGATTCCCTTCCTCGGTAATTACTAGACAAGAACAATATTGTTAGTTTTTTGACAACCTCATCAGTTGTCAACTTTAATTCTGAATCTATCATTCCATTTTAACTACTGGCAGTTCTCCTGAAGATTGTAATTTTTTGCTATTTGTTATTTCTGCGAATGTTTGGTATGTAATGTGTTGGGAGGTTTGTTCATAGCATTTTGCTCATTTATTGGAATTTATAATAATCAATTGGAAAATAAGACTAATCAAGCATTGAATAAATCAAGGATGCTGAATGGCTAAAGAAAGGATCAATCACTGACTCTGAATGGGACTGCTCTTTCAACAAAGACTGTTGACAACATAACCAAATGTTTTTCACCTAAGCTAAGTCTGCAGATGCACATTGTCTGCAGCCACTTCTTTTTTTTTTTCCTTATTTCTCTTTTTCTATTTGGGTATTAGATTTATTCCAAACTATAGCAATTTATCTGAATGTTGTTGGTTAAATCATTTGAAGTCTGGATTAGTAGCTTTTTTCATTCTAGTACAGGTGGTTGTGTTTCTTTCTGTTCAAAAGCTTGTTTGAGTACATGCACACTTAGTACTAAGCCCCTACAAACTTAAGAATTGTATCTTGGCATAATATTTTTATATAATCACTGCATGTAATGCTAAGGATTATCATTTCTCTCTATGATGCCATTCACTTGGGGGTAGTATGTAGTTTTTATGTACTCAAAATACTATTTTTGGTGAATATTTTAAAGCCAAATGACTTGAATTCCAGTCTGTTGGCACTAACAACAGTCTGTGGCAGGCGAAATTTGGAAAAAGTATTTTCTTTATCTTTCTGGCTGTTGTTGATTCATAGTCTTAAATCCGGTATAAAACAAAATAGTCCACGATTGCAAGATATGATTTTCCATTTAGATGAAATATATTATGTTGCAACTTTTGTCCATGGAGTTGACAATAATTTAATTCTGGCCCTAGATAAATTGTCTTTCACCAACACAAACGGTTAAAATTAAATTCGAACAGTGTGTAGACAAGGGATCAGGAAGACAAATATTATGGCTTCATTAACAGTTGAAATAATTATTTTTAACAAATGATACCAAACTGTTACCTTTGAAATCAATGTAAAGTTAAATAGGTATTTCATATTCAGTAATACATTACAGTCAGTCACTGAAGACAGGAACTCCTACAAAAGCTCTGTCATCGTGGATAGGTTACAAAGTGGACAGCTAACTCTATTTGACTGGGTGGCCTTTGTGTTTGGTGTGAGAGTGTATATATATTATTTATGTGTATATGTCTAACAAACTTGACTCTGATTCTACTAGTGGACATCATTTCTTAAATGTTAAGTGAGATCAGATAAACTGTTTTTTGATAGTCATTCTGATTTCCATAAATCTAAGAAAGGTGTTTCTTTTCAAACTATAGCAACTTATCTGGGTGTTGTAGGATGAATCCTTTTAAGTCCAAATTAGACACTTTTTAGTTTTAAAATAACTGAATCATTTTTTATTACATCTGAGTTTCGATTTGATTCATGTTACTACAGAGTGGTGAGGATTTCTTGATTGATTAGAGGTTTGGCTGAGTGCTGATTCTGATAATCAACTTTCATAGAATATGTGCTGACCATGTTTATGTTCTGAATGCTTATGCTGGGCCAGTATGTGCATTCTTTTGCTGTAGCTGTCTTCTTTTATGTACTGTATTGCTTCAGGATATGTGTGGACATGGCTCTCTACAACTTTGTTTTTTGTAGCTCTTAACAATGTTTGCTTTTTTAGTGTTCTTTCTACTCCCAAATCTGACATCCATTTACACAAGCTTGTTAGATAAGTTCCTTGCTGTTTCACTCTGTCTCTCTTACCTTCAATATATCCTGTGTGTATCAAATTCTCAAAGTTCTCTTTCTTCATTATGTGTCCCCAATATTTCTATTTTATCTTTCTGATTCTAAGTTTCTTTTTTTCTTTTCCTTTTCAATAGTTTGCTGCCCCATATGATTTTCTTTTAGGGTTTCTTGATGCAGACAATCAGGAACAATGATTCATATATCTTTGAGAGCAGCTCTGAAGGGACATGGCACATAAAAGAAAATCATCTTTGGAAACAGATCTTTTTCACTCCTGAAATTTCATCATTGATAGAAATGAAAGTTTGAATAGGATATAGAGTTTTTTTTTTTTGTTTCCCCTTTAGTTGCCAGGATGCATTCACTTTTTGTGCAAGTGATGAGACTTTCTAAAGTGAGATCACTTGTTGTTGCTTTCCTGTAGATATTGAACTTCTTATCCTGCATTGGGTAATGTTTATTTTTTTTCCTGATTCAATGAATGTATGTTTTCATGTCCATGTCAGACATTTTGATATTATTATTATTATTATTGAATGCAATATAGAGTATCAACAATGAATTGTGTCCTGGTATATAATTCAGCTTGTAATTATATGGTTGCAGAGTTAGTCTGAATCTTTAAATTCTTGGAGGAATCTCTGGAAATGTTATGTCAAATAACTTGATGGAACTTTTTGCCAGTAAGCACAAGGCTTAAAGTGCTTACAACTAGATCCCATTGAAACACCAGTTTCCATATGATCACCAAAGTTAAGCAACATTGAACCTGGTCAGTACCTAGATAGGTCACCATTTGGGAATACCAAATGCTGTAAGCTTGGATGTGCGGGTGGTATAATGGATTATGGCTCAGAATTGTTAATTGGAGAGCTGAGTTCCAATTCTCCTTGGGTTTGTTATATTCACCTATGCACAAATCCACTTCTTCTCCAGTAGTCATGAGTTAATTAGTAAAGCCTGTATCACTAAACCATTATTATTTCCAAAAAAATCTTACAGTTTAAAAATATTTTCTGGCTTTAAATAACCTCCAAATGGTTGATAAGTCCTGGAAAACAAGTTAATCAAAAACAAGACTTAAAGCTTAACTTTCAATATGACAGTAGGTCTATTTTTAAGAGTCTTTGTGCATGAGTCAAATGAAATGGGAAGCCATTTTCTGTTGTAGCCTTGTTCCATTACTGCTCTGTGTCCATGCTTAATAGCATCTGTCATAATCTTTGTGGATTGATTAAGGTAATGGAATTGTATTATTGTCTCAGTTGTGATTATTTCCTTGAGGTTTATTGCTTCAACATGAGATTTGTCAAATGACCATAAAGTATCGATCTGTAGAAGTTGACTTAATGGCATCATCACTTAAGAATCATTTGGGAGAAACTTGAACAAATAATTGGTCCTGAATAAAATCTTTGTAGATCTTGTTCAGACATGTTTAAAGATATATCATTAAGCGCTTCCACTTTGGCTCAATTTGGTTTTAGTTCTTTACTTGTGGTGAGATGACCAAATTTAGTGATCTTTGAGCAAAAATGCATTTGTATCTGTTTAATTTCAAGTTATATTTATGCAGTCAGTTGAAAATCAATTTGAGTATTTGTCTATGTACGAAAGAATTGTATCAAGTTATGATGTCGTTTTGGGAGATTTTTGTTACTGTGATTCTATTTTAGCAACTTCAATTAGGAAAACTTGCTTCTTAATTCCATAAGGTAGTCTCATAAAATGCTGTTGTCTAAAACTTATTAAAAGTTAGATAGAAGGCACCAAGATTTTTCATCAACAGGAATTTGCCAATATTAGTTCTCAGTATCAAGTTTTGAGAAATATTTTGGATTTTGCATTTCTGCAGAAATATCATCCACAGTACAAAATTTAAAATTATATATTTTTATTGCTTTATTCATATTTCAGGCATCTTGACATAGACATACTTTTTCCATTAGTTTTTTTTTTATGATTACGAGATAGTAAATTTGTAGATTCCTTTACAGCTCATATTATTTCTAGATTCCTCATCTTTTTTAGTTGCAAAAGAAACCTTTTCAGGTGGGCAACGATTGACAAGATTTATTCCAGGGTCTATGGCGAGTGGATGGAAAAGTACAGATTTTACAAAAACAGTAGGCAAATTCTTTTAACAGACTTTACATACTTGATTTATTTATTCATAAAAATTCTATTATATTTAATTTCTTGCACATTTTTGTGTTAAAAACTGTCTGAGAATTTGTAGCAAACTCAAATGTAAAAAAATATATAAAATAAAATATTAATTAAAAAAATAAATTCAAATTAAGATAAGGCTTTCTTTTAAAACCCAATATTTCTTCTCTTTCTCTCTATCCTTCTCTTTCAACTAATGAGGAGGCTACCCTCAAATAAAAAGAGGAGAAAGAAGAAGAAAAGACAGAACACAGCTGCAAAATGGTAGAAATTTGCTGGTCCAGATTCTAGTTATTGTGACAAGAAATCTACCAAAATAAGAGAGGTTTCATGCATAACTTCTGCTAAAAATAATGAAAAAGAAAGGAACACCAGAAAATAGAAGAACTTTGGTCAATCAAAAAAAACAACAAAGAGACTTTTAATGTTAGCAGAAAACTAAGCTTTATGCCAAGATGTGTGGAGTCGTTTCTGAAGTGAATATAAAGTGATAACCAACAGGCCAATGGGGAGAAGGAGGAGGACATTCCAGAGAAACCAGCCAAGCATGTCGTGTGAAGAAGCTAAGTGAACATCTGCTGTAGACATTTTTTCCGCTCTACTGAGGGCTGAGAAAACACAGCAGATTGACGTCAGCAACATGGTTCCAAATCAACCACATGCCTAACTGCGCTACCAGCATCTGACCAAAGGTGAACTATTAATTACCCAGCCGAATGAACTTTTGCCAACCTGAATTACAAAGGACTCGAATAAATATATATTATTTGTTTATACATTTCATTCTGTTCATTTATTCCAAAGTTACCAAGAAATAAAATTAAAAACATCTGGTGTTTTTCCACAAATACACAAGTTGCAACTTTTTTTTTCCAAAGTCGCAGTACATTTTCCCCAAAAATGGTATTTTGTATTATTATAAGCATTTAACTCCCCTGAAGCTTTTTTTTCTTGAGTCAGAGGGAAAAGTCGGAGGTAAACTTTCTTGGGAAATACACATTTCTATTTCTGAGTTGAATATAAATTTTATTGTGAAGTTGTTTAAGTCTTTTCTAGTCTCTGGACATTCATTGAGTAGACCTCATTGCTTGAGTTGTTGTTTAAAGTGATTTCTGTCATATGCACGGATATCTTACATCTGCATATCTTCACAAAATGGCCTCTCTAATTGTATTTACTACTGGTTTTGTGAAACGCAAGACAATTATTTCTCTTGTGACTGTTGCCGCAATATTTGCATGGGTTTATGCTGTTTTGATTGTTGGCAGTTTTTTGTCACTTGCTTCAGCATGGAGGCTTTTCAAATTTTTTGTTCTATTACTTGTGTGTTGACATTATATATTCGAAATGTCAGTTATCTGAGTTTGAGCTGAGACATTTAATATTTTAGATTGGTGTTCTGTCTCTTTTGCGTATTGTCCAGCCTGATAACGCTTTCCTTCCCCATATTAATACATCTTTAGTAAAACTACTGGTGATATTACCAAATACACATTGTTGAGTTTTGTGTCACAATTCAATCGCATAATAATTGAACTATTGATTATTTACTTTTAAGTAAAGAATTTGTGTGTAAGAAATGTTAAATTCTTTCTTGGCACACAATATTTTCATTTTATTAATATTTATTCTATGTTCACTTTCAATACATATGAACTGATTGATTTGTTTGTTTAATGGCATATCAACCCCTCATGAGTCATTTAATGCCAAAATTTAATTTTCTTGGGAACTTGGAAGTAATAAAGATATGATACATGTTATTCTGCTTTCACAATTGAATACATGGTAGATAATACTCAGCTTTTGTGCATATCCATGTTTGTGTAAACATAATTACTAGAGGCAGTGATATGTGTTTTTGTATGTTGTAGTTTTCTTGAAGTCATATTTTGGAATAAAGTTTGATTTCTTTAAGAAATTATAGGATATTATATGGATTAATGCCATGAAAGAGTTTGTTCATGTTGGTCATTTGGTTGTTTGATTTTGTTTAGCAGCATATCAACCAGTGGGTTATTTAATGCTGAAATCTAAATAATTTGAACACAATTTTAAGACTTAAACTATAGATAAAATGTATTGTTGGAAATTCTACTATGAATATGTATTGATGGTAATTTTATTATAAAAATGTATTTTTATACTTTCATTGTGTTTTGATTTGTTTGAGGGGGTTTATCATTTGCCCATAGCTGGTACCATAACAGGTACTACCACTATCAGGGTGGACCTGGGAACAGCAGTAATTAAGAGGTGGTTCTACACTCCTCAAAACCTCCAATCTCCTGATCAGAAAGCTTTCTGCCAGATGTAGTTTATCATCATATCCAGGGCTACAATACATACAAGTTAAAACAAATCTTCAAACTGTGTTTGATGAATTCAACATGATTTGAAGGTTTGTTTTATCTTCATATGCATTGAAAGTGAACATAGAATAAATATCTTGTTCCTTTGTACCAACATAAGAAGAATTGAAGTGGGAACTTTACCGGGTTTTATGTCACTTTCTGCCATTAACAGAAAGAGGTTAAACAGGTTCTTCCATTTTTTTCCCATGCAACAGAAAATTCATCATATCAAAGATTTAGGATGCAGTAAAGAAACCATTTTTCAAAAATTAATCCAGGTTTTTTTTCTGTAGAATTTGGTTCTAGATTTTTTATCACAACATGTTATACTTCTCTAATTCAGTAACTCTCTATCCTAAGTGGCTCTTGGGCCTTGTATTGGGGGAATAATAGTAAAAACTGAAGCCCATAGCAGCTGAAAACAACAGAGATGACAGCAGTAGTTTGCATATAAATAATATAAATAATGATAACATGACATTCCAGAAATTTAGACAGAAATGAGAAGTACACAGATTTTATGGAAACTGAACTCATTAGTCAAGCGCAAAATTACATCATGACCGTCTTTACCCTAACTGCATAATTCATGGTTATTTTAAACAAATTGAATCCTTCATCAGTCAAACACAGAAGTAACATGACTGCCTATTGTAAACTAATTCAATCATTGTTTAGTTAAACACAGGACAAAGATATAATGTTCCAGACTCTGAGTGATACATACCTATGTTAAACTAATCCAGTCCTTCAGCCAAATGCAGGAGTAACAACATGACACTCCCACACAGGTTTCATCAGTCAAGCACAGAAATGATATTCTAGCCCCTAAGATGATGTCCCACTTTCATTTTAAGATAATTAAATCTGTCAACTGCAGAAATAAAACTCAGCCTATTATTGCATTTTTGTTAATATTTAAATTTTCATAATTAAAATGGCGAGTCGGCATATAAATATTTCAAAGGAAGTTCAGAAAAAGCCATATGAAAAAAAACCCATATCAATGTGTGTGTATGTGTAATTAACATTTGCAAATGGTTTAGAAAGCATAAGACTGTCTATAAACAGAGAATTTTCAACCAATTGCTGGTGGTTCCTGAACATTAAAAAACACTTCAAGTTTTATCTGTTGTAAACAGTTAAAAGACTTTGTAACATGTTGCAGTGACTTGATTAAGAAATGCCTGCCCATCTACACCAAGCAAATAGGTCTCATTGTTTTACCTTTGAACTAGCTAGATATAACTCTAAGTTCTAGTCTCATAGTTTCTATTTTCTTGCTTCCTTGCCAAC